CCCCCCCTGGGCGCGCCGACGTCAGACATGGCGCGCGCACCTTGCTTGTCTCTCCCCCATCATTTTTCTTCCTCCCTCCCTTTTACATGCAGGCATACAATACATGCGGGGGTGAGATCGCAGTGTAACGGAGGGCCCCCCACCAGGAAAGCGGGTTCGGTTTCGTGTTCGTGTCGCGCGTGCGGGCGAGGCGAAGCTGCGTGGGCGCGCGAGAGGAATGATGCCGCCGTGGCTAGGGGCTGTGGAGCCGGTTGTCCGCCCCCCCTCCCCCCTACCCGGCGCGGGGTGGCCAGGGGTGTCCCGTCGGTGGCGCGTCGGTGTGCCGTCGGTGGCGCGGGGTGCCCCGTCGGTGGCGCGGGGTGTCCCGACGGTGGCTCCGGGTGTCCCGCCGTGGTGTCTCGATGGTAGCTCGTGAGATCCGTTGTGAGATCGGTAGCGAGATCGAATGCGTGATCGATCGTGATCGCGAGATCTATGATGAGATCGAGAGATCGATGAGGAGATCGATCGTGAGATCGAGCGTGAGATCGCTCACAATAAATCTTTGACTTGGGATACCCTGCCGTGGCTGGGGGTGCCCCATCGTGGTGTCCCGATGGTGTCTCGTGAGATCTCTTGTGAGGTCGATCGTGAAATCGCTTACGATATCAAAACTGAGATCGATGGTGGGATCGAAAGTAAGATCGATAGTGCGATCGTTATCGAGAGTGATAGTGAAATCGGTGGTGAGATCGATTGTGGAACCCGTGTTTGCTAGAACTTGCACCTATATAGACCACCATTCGGGTGATAAGAAAGTTGAGGGGTGGAAAGAAGGTCCACTGACAACAACTGCGATGACTGTGATGGCGATGAGGTGGCGCCACCGATCTCACGAATTTCACAGACGATCTAACCATCGACCTCCTTATCGACCGAACTATCGATCTTACTATCGATCTCAAAAGAGATCTCACGAGACACCATCGGGACACCACGATGGGGCAACCTCAGCCACGGCGAGGCACCCCAAGCCACAGATCTGTTGTGATCGATCTCATGATCGATCTCACGATAATGGTCAACCACACAATCGATCTCACTATCGATATCACTGTCGATCCCACGAACTACCATCGAGATATCACGGCGGGACACCGGGAACCACGGTCGGAACACCCCGCATCACCGACGGGGCACCCCGCGCCACCGACGCAACAACCCCGCGCCACAGGCAACCCGTGATCGATCTCACGATCACGATCGATCACGCATTCGATCTCGCTACCGATCTCACAACGGATCTCACGAGCTACCATCGAGACACCACGGCGGGACACCCGGAGCCACCGTCGGGACACCCCGCGCCACCGACGGGGCACCCCGCGCCACCGACGGCACACCGACGCGCCACCGACGGGACACCCCTGGCCACCCCGCGCCGGGTAGGGGGGAGGGTGGGCGGACAACCGGCTCCACAGCCCCTGACCACAGCGGCATCATTCTCTCGCGTGCCCACGCAGCTTCGCCTCGCCCGCACGCACGACACGAACACGAAACCGAACCCGATTTCCCGGTGGGGGGCCCTCCGTTTCACTGCGATCTCACCCCCCAACGTCTGATACAAGCTGTAGCATCCCATAATCTTGATCTCGTCTGATGTTATCTCCCAAATTCTTCTGTTCTTCCACCACGGCCGCAGCACCAACAGCCGCAACTATGTAAGACTGCTGCTTCTCCACCGCCCGTGGGCCATCCAACATCTACACCTCGAACACTCGGCCCCCGCCCTCCCCATCTATGAGCCTACCCCTGGGTTTGTGCTTCTGCCACGCCATTTCCATCGTTAACCTCGACATGGGCGACCCCGAACACGCGGGACGGGCGGGCTTCCACGCAGGGGAACGGGCGGACTGCACCAGGCGAGCCTGGCGGGCGGGACATTGGAGAGGGCGGGTCGGGGTCAAGTGGGCGGACCCGGACAGGCGGGTCGGGCGGGCGGGGCGGGAGGACCCTCACGAGAGCGCGAGGAAGGATGCCCCAGACGAGAGCGCGATGCACTGATAGTTGGACAGGGCAGCACAGGCGCTCCTGAGAGGCGAGAGCCAGGCACCTGAGTATAAAGCAAGAGGATGTCCCGAGCAAGAGCGCGATCCTCGAACAAGTTGCACGGAAGTCTCCAGCGACAGTCCGAGGCCCGAATACTTGGAGGGGCCACAGATTCGACGGAGGGCAGAAGGGAGGGCCCATCTTCCACGATCCTCCTTTTCCTCTCCTCCGTGTATCGCTTACGATGCCTCCTCCTCCATCTCCTCCTCCTCCCTCCCCTCCTCCTCCTCCTCCTCCTCCTCCTCCTCCTCCTCCTCCTCCTGTCTCTTCGTTGTTGTCCGCCCCTCTTCCAGCCCTCCGCTGGGGAAGGCTTGGCGGTGCCCGCTCGCGCTCGTCGGACCGCGCCCGCTCCTTACGCTGACCACGGACACTGTTAGGCGGCCGCTTGCGAACCCGGCCCCTACCCCCCACGATTTCTGAGGGGGGGGGTGGGGGATCACCTCGCTCGGGAGCTCCTGAATTAAGTGAACCCCACCCTCCCCCTCAGAAAATCGCGGGGGGTAGGGGTAGGGTTCGCAAGTGGCCCCCTAACAGTTGCATCCAGGCCAGGTTTACGCTAGATGGCGTTGGCTCAGCGCCCCATGCGCTATGTGCACGAACCACTCCGATACTACGCGCGAGCCGAATCAGTCTTTCCGCACACGCGACTGCTGGGCCTGCCGGGGCTCATCTGCTAGACTGATTATTTGTATTGTGGCGAACTGTATGCCCCTGGGGCGCAAAGCCTGGACCCGTCTTGCCGAGCTGGTAGCTGGGCGTCTAGGCGGGAACCGCCAGATGGCAAAGATCGCACCCGCCCGCCCAGTGACTGCGACGAGGCAGGAAAACGTGCCGATAGAGGAGGGATGAAGGGGAACGGTTAGACGGACCCAAACATGAAATTTCTTGACCTGATGAGAAAGAGGTCCCCGGAAGTCCCGACACACTACCTCAGGCCAGTTCTTCGTCCCGAGCCGTTTAACTCACGGTCGCGGGGCCCAGCGCGGGCCCCCAGAGGCCACAAACGGCCAGAATCCTTTCGTCGTGCCTTGTCACGACGCGAGCATGTCTGGGGATGTTGTGGAGAATGAATTCACGTCTGGCACCTGCACGGAAAATACATGCCGGCAGGACATCACTGTGTTGGGTGCGTCCGTCCACGGCGCCCTCTGCCACGCGGAACGTGCGTGATTCGCACGGCGCAGGGCCGAGCGCCAGTCGCGCAAGCTGCGCCACAACTGCATCTTGAAGCAGAAGACGCACAGGCCGACCCTCCGCTGTGAGAGGGGGAGTGCCCGCCGCGCAAGAAAAAAACACCTCGGCGTCCTGACGGCATGAGTGAGCATGAATTCTCGGATCAAAATGGTTCAGGGCCCATTACACACATCGGGGAATTGTTGGTAAACCTGGGCTTTTAGCTGCAGCCGTTGGGAGGAACAGTATCTATTCTTAGCGCTGCCCGGGTGGAAGTCTCAAAGTCCTGGTTGGCAGCTTCCTGGTGTAGGGGGGCACTTCGATCCTACTCCTTTTCAGCAAAGATGGCCCCTGAGAGGCCACCGCATCACTCTCATCTCCGTCGTCTTCCGCATCTCTGCAGCGCGCTTGGCGGACTGCTCCGCTCTTCGCGCCTGCCTCGCCCCTTCCTCGCCGTACCTGCCTCCTCCCCTTCCTCATGCCTGCACTCACTTGGCCTGTGGGGCAGGCCCACTCGGGGTCTTGGGCCCACCCTACGATGACCACAGAGATCAGCCTCCCAAGCCGCCTGTGCGGCGAGGCGCGCGCGCGCGCAGACAGGGTGGGAACCGACCGGGCCGGACAGAGCTTGGGGGGGTGTCTAAAATTGCTCGGCTGGGAGGGTTGTGACCCCCCCCGCTTCTTATGAAATGCGGAATGCGCTCTTGGCCACCCTCCTGGGTGCAAGAGTCGAGGAGACGGAAGGCTCGGGTTCGGGGAACTCGGTGTGGCCTGACGGGGCCATCATGAAAATGGCGAGACCCAATCTGAAACTTGATGCGACCTCCCACGAAAATTGGACCGTCAGAATCCAGGACGCGCTCGTCAAAAAGCGTCGGCGGACCCGAGTTCTGGCGCACTCGAGTCTTACGCTTCCCCGAAAGAGTGCTTCCTGATGGCTGCGCTGGCTGGCGGCTCCCGGCCTCAGAGTGACACCCCATAAAGCATCCAGATGCTCCCTCCTCCCCCCGACGTCCGCCGATCAGACCCTTGCAGTCCGCGGCTCCTGAACTTCCAACCCCTTCCCTCGGGATGGCTCTCTGCCCTGGACCCGCTTCTGATATGGCCCCAGGTCGGGCGTTGGCAGAACTGGGTTTGGTGGAACCTGGTTTAGTGATCTGTACCGGGGGCGCCCCCCCGTCCCATTTCCACTAACAAGGAACTGCCGCCACCCGAAAAAACACCAGCTATGGCAAACCTGGTTCAGTGCTTCTGGCCAATTCGAAGGCTCCAGGGCCCTACCACTAACCGGGTCCCCTTACCTGGGGTCCTGGCCACACCCGACCAGGGCCCGACGAGGGGCCCCCGAGGCCGAGATCGAGGGACAACGCACGGACGGAAGGAACCATCTTGTCGGAGCTCCGGGCACGCACCCCCGAAGCTGACCGCTGGAGGCCTGTCGTAAAGCGCGTTCCGATCAGCCTTCTCGGGCTGGGCGAAAGGGCGGGATCGCAAAGGGGGGGGTCCGTGTATCGAGGAATGGACCCGGCGGCGGGGCCGAAACCAGCTGCACGCAGCAGATTTCGTAACCGCCCCTTTCCCTATCCCCCTTTGCGCTCGGCCCGAGGGTGGCCGCCGGCGAGGAGGAGGAGGAGGAAGGCCAAGTCCTCTCCCCGACCGCCTGCCCTCGGAGGGAGAACGCGCCGCATGTCTGCGGCCCTCGTCGCCGCCTGGCTCGGAGACGGGATCGAGGGGCGGCGTCACGACACCTCCTCCTCGCTGAAGTACCTGCCCTTCCCTGCTGGCGGGGAGGAGACGTAGGAGACGGAGGATGATGCAAGGGGGACAGCCAAGTAAGCAGCCACTGGGAGGAGCAATGGCCAGAGGAGGAGCAAGATGAGAAGGACGGATAAGGAAGGAGGAGGAGGAGGATCAGGAAGGGTGATAGGGGAGGGAGGACGAGGAGGAGGATGAGAGGGAGGAGGAAGAGGATGAGGGGAAGAGAACGGTGCGGTCTGGCAGCAGCCGCATCATCATCAGCAGTGGCATGAGGAGCAGCAACGGGAAGAGGGAAGCGGACGAGCGGGGAGCAAGAGGGAGGAGCAAGAGGAAGGAGGGACGAGAGGAGGAGGGGGAGGCTCTGAGATCCGACGGCGCGAAAAATTACACATCCTGGAAAGTCACGACCAAAGACCCGAACCCCGTACCTTCTGCGCCATGTTTCGAGCCGGACCGGTCTGCCAGGGTCCTGGGGCACGACGCCGAGCGAAGACGCCGGTTATGAAAGCAGTGCAGCGCACGGATCCGCCGAGGGGGCGAAGGAGGAAGGAGGAGGAGGGGGCGAGGGGATGCAGGGAGGCTCCGTCCGACGACAACGCAGCTATTGGGTGTCAGGTGTCGGGGGGATGACGGAGAGGAGCAGCGAGCGGATGACGCTGCGGGCCGAGTGGCGCTCCCCTCACATCCGACGGTGCCAAACAGAAACAAACAACAAACATCGTACGAGATCACGGCCGGAGCGCCAGACCCCTTCCGGGCTATTTTTGGAGCCGGGTCGATCTGTGAGGGCCCCGGGGGCCCGCAACCGGGCGAAAGCGCCAATGGCGAAGGAAACCGCGACGCCAGGGTCTCGGGGTGCACGGCATGGCCGGGGAAGAGGACAGCGAGCGGGACCGCGGAGGGCACCACACCGTCGGGGCAGCCGTCGGCAGCTGCGGCTGCGGGACGGGCGGCGCTGCCGCGGGCGGGGCCGCCCGCCACGCCGCGGTCCCGTCGCTCGGGCTCCCGGTCGGCAGAGCCTGCCGAGAGGTGGGGCGCACAGGGGCACAGGAGCACGGGGTGCTGCAGTCGGGCTGCTGAGGTACACAGTCGGACCTGGGACAGAGGAGCACCCCTCAAGAGCATGAGGCCCTCCGCCGGCCAGAAGACACAGAATCTGCAAGGGTGCCCTCCACAGGATGCACAAGAACATGGCCTATTGCGCCGGGCCCTGCACGCGGCTCGGGATTCTGCCCCCGCGGCGCGAACCTCCGACCCCATTCATCCTCCTCCTCCTCCTCCTCCTCCTCCTCCTCGCCCTCCCTCCCCCTCCCCCTCCCTCCTCCTCCTCCCCCTCCCTCCTCCTCCTCCTCCTCCTCCTCCTCCTCCTCCTCCTCCTCCTCCTCCTTTTCCTCCTCCTCTAGGGTACTCTGCACGAGCCGACCTCGATCTTACGCCTCGGTCCGACTGCAAGGCATGATGGGTGAGGAATGGAGGCCCCGATGCTTCCAAGTCGAGCCCTGACATCCACGAGGAGCGGCAGTGACATCCGACGGAGCACCGAGGGGCTCGCCACCGACGAGGCGACGGAACGCGTGCCAACCCAAGGAACCACCGCGGCCCATCCTACCTCGAACTGGACATGTTTTTAACCGAGCTAACTGTATGTGCTCCGCCTGGAGGCGCACATCCGAGCCGAACGTCTAGTACCGTGGCACCCCGCAAATGTGGATAAGAGTGAGGGGGCGGCGGGGACGTCGGCGGTGTGCGAGGCTCTCAAGAAGCCCGCCGCAGGCGTCAAATCTCTATCTGACAAATTATGACAACGAGCCAGCCGCAGGCGCCGATGTTCTCGTCGACGCAGTGTTGGTGAATCGCGGGGGGGGAGGGTCGAAGGTGGGTCGCGGGTGGATCGCGGGTGGGTCGCGGGCAGGGTCGCGGGTGGGTCGCGGGTGGGTCGCGGGTGGGTCGCCGAAGGGTCGCGGGCCGGTCGCAAGGTGGGTCGCGGGTGGGTCACGGGTGGGGGGCGGTGTGGGTCGCGAGTGGGTCGCGGGGGGGGGGGGGACGGCGACAACCAACAACAACAACAACAACAACAACAACAACAACAACAACAACAACAACCACAACAACAACAACAACAGCAACAACAACAACAACAACAATAATAACAACAACAACACCAACAACAACAACCACCACAACAGCAACAATCATTTAAAGACTGTTCGTTCTTACTGGCACGCGTGTCTTGCATTCCGTATATCCCAACCATCGATACCCGCCCACTTCGCCTTCGATTGTACCCCCTTTCGGGGGGAATCTCTTCCTCGTCGGACACTGACTGAAGTGCGAAGAAGTCTCGAGCGAGAGCGCCGTTCCTGAGTTCGGGGGCCTCTCTGGCCAGGTGCTCTCGGAATACCGATGGAGAAATATCAAACGGGAGCCCTTGTCGCCGTGTCCGGGCCTCCACCAAGGTGCCTGAATTACGAGAAAGTCTCGAGCGAGAGCGCCGTTCCTGAGTTCGGAGGCCTTCTTGGCCAGGGGCTCTCGGAGTAAATCGTGAGGAAGTATCGAGCAAGAGCCCTTGTTGTCGTGGCTGGGCCTCCGCCAACTTCATTAAATTGCATGGAAGTCTCGAGCGAGAGCGCCGTTCCAGAGTTCGGGGGCCTCTCTGGCCAGGGTGTCCCATGGCAAATTGTGAGGAAGTATCGAGCGGAAGCCGTTGTTGTCGTAGCTGGGCCTCCAAGGGCCACATTTAGGCTCAAGCCAACGCTCGAGCGGGAGCCTCGCATTCATAGAAAATGTAGCCAACGTCGATGCGAGAGCGCGCGGAACCGTATCTGGAGATCAACAATGGCTCTTCCTTTGAAAGGGGTGCTCAACAACAACAGCAGCAGCAACAACAACAACAAACGGTAACAAGCAACAAGCAACAATCAACAAACAACAAGCAGCAAAAACAATAATAACAACAACACCACCACCAACAACAACAACAACACTACCACCAACAACAACACCAACAACACCAAGAGCAACACCACCACCAACAACAACCACAACAACAATAATAACAACGACAACGACAACACCACCACCACCAACAACAACACCAACAACAACACCAACAACACCACCAAGAACAACCACACCAACGACAACAACAACAACAACAACAATCGGCACCGCACAACCTTTCTTCAGCCACGCGCCCAGGGACAATGCATGACCGTTCGACCCCCTCGCTCTGACAAGCGTGACCTCAGCGGTAGGGCCAGAAGAGCGCCCGCCACAGAGCATATATAGTGTAAGATGTCTGAGCGCGCAGCGATCCTGAGGACCGGCGCACACAGGGTGTACGTTTGTGTGGGCGATGCCAAAGGACGTGCGGGGAGGAAGGAGGATGACGAGGGGAGGAGGACGAGGGGAGGAGGGAGGATGAGAAGGGGAGGAGGACGAGGGATTCTGAGGTTCTGGCGCCGCATGTTTTCCACCACGGGCGTTCTTGCCAAGTTTCGGGCCCCGGGCCATTCTCTGGCTCGAACAGTGCAGCAAACAGACGAAGTCTACGGCTCAAGTCGTCACGTTCTCTGGATGTTGCGATGCTTTCGCGACGTCGGATCCCAGGGGAGGAGGGAAGGAGGATGGAGACGATGAGGAGGGGAGGACGAGGAGGACGAATGCATGGAGAACACGGACGAGGGAGAGGAGGGAGGGGGAGGACAAAGAAGAGGGAGGACGAGGGAGGGAGGAGGAGGGAGGAAAAAGGGAGCGAGGGAGCGATAAGGCTGATTGCGGGGATTGGGATGATGATGGCGATGATGATTGCAATGCTGATGATTACGACGGTGCCGATGCTTATGATATGGATGAGGATGGTGATGTTGATGCAGATGATGATGACGATGATGATGATGATGATGATGATGATGACGATGGTGATGTTGATTGGGATGAAGGCGGTACTGGTGATGATTACGATGATGATGATGATGGTGATGGTGGTGATGATGATGAAGATGATGATGGTAATGGTGGTGGTGAGGATAAGTTAATGGGGATGATAGTGATGGTGATGGTGGTAATGGTGATGGCGATGGTGATGATGATCATGGTGGTGGTGGTATGATGATGGTGACGATCATGACGACGCTGCTGTTGATGATGTTGATTGTGAGGATGATGTTAATGATGATGCTGTTGTTGACGATGATCATGATTCAGATGATGATGCTGCGTATTAACACGAGAAGAAGGAGGAGGAGCGGGCGGGCAGGTTGGCTCCACAGGAGGGGGGGGCTACCGGGAGGGAGGGCCGCGGGGACTGATAACAGGGGATCTGTCGACCCCTATCCCAGGCTTCGTGTGTTTCGAACATACCAGGAATTGGGGGACTAACCCTGGGAGATACGCTGGGGGGGCGTCCATCCTCGATAGGGGTGCGTCCGAATAGCCCCCTTGGGGTGTATGCTAAGGTTTCCCTTCTTTTCTGAGCGGCTTCATGTTTCGTCGACAGGTCGGGGGGTTGGGGGAGACCAATCCCCTGCGAACTGACGCAGCACGATACAGGGAGGCCGAGGATTGCTCACCTGCTCACTGGTGCGCACACCGCAGGCACCCTTGCGCAGCACGCCTCCAAGTCTTGTCTTCCCCACTTCTCGGGAGGTGCCGGCTGCCAACGTGCCCAATCCTGGCCGGGCCCATCTTGGGCCCAGGATCGGCGCATACGCACTCGTCCCCCGCGTGCGCATTCCACGACTGGCAAGACAGAGGCCTCACTCAGATGCGAGGAGATAAACAGATTAGTGTTGGGCGAAAATACAACAGAGGGGCATCCAAGCTAACTGTCACGCACGCCCTTGCATGCAGCAAAGAGACGGCGCCGAACGCGCCCGAGGTCATCGCATGCGCCCTTCCCTAAATCTGAGTTCCAGAAGGGTTGCGCCATCGCTGGCGGCGTCGGACCGCTGCAGCACTGACTGAAGGCCTGCGCGCTCCCTCAGATCGCCGTGCGACGGGGGGACCAGCGCCTCGCAAGCAAGCTAGAGGCAACACCAACGAAAGACCGCGCAGTAGCTGATCGAGGACCGCCATTCCTCAATGCGTTTCCTCCGCCGATGCCGAAGCCGTGGGTGCCGTAGCCGTGTGTCGCTGATACCAGCCGCGCCTATTCAAACAAAATACTGGTGCAACCAGTGCCCAGGATGTCCGCCACGGAAGCTAGCGAGAAACCTTGCGCAAGTTCTGAACGGTCCAGCGCCAAGTGCTACGCTGCTGCGCATGATGTTGAGTGTGCCACGAAGCTGACAAATCGACACAGCAGCCAATGGAGATACGCATGCTGGTTGGTTGGTTGCAGTGGTGCAGGGGTTTCTCTTGAAACGCAGATGACAAAGAGAGGCAGCAACAGAGACACATCATCACCCATTTCGTATTCCAGCTGCTCTACGGTTGGCGACGCGTGAACGGCACGAGTGGATGAGAAGAAAAGCACGTAATTGAACGCAGCCTTCAAGCTGGGTGCGAGGACTAGGTCTACGCTTCGCAGACAGAGGGAATGGTGCTGCATTTCAAGCAGGGTGCACAGGCAACACACATGATGCTGGAACGCTGCGGTGTTGGTTCCACCCTGTTGTGACGCGCGTGCCGGGGAGACTGCGGCAAAGAACACAACTGCACCGACTTGACGACGCTGGCCCGGCAGCGCGAAGCTTTCACAAAATCTGTGTCAGTCCGAACAAAAGACCGACTCTGGCGCTCCGCCGCGCCCGCTTTGCCGTACACGCAATGCCCATCGGGCGACATCGGAGCCTACACCGTCCTGCTCCAGGGGGATCGGCTGCAGGGGTAAAGGTTCCCCCCCCCCCCCCCCGGCAAAAGCTTTAGTCAATTGTCTGGCGATGGCGGCCTCGCGCGCAGCGATGAGGCGGAGACAGTGCAGACATCGGAACACGCGCGACGGACGGGTCCTCGCTCAGGATGCAGCTTGCTGGCATCGGCCATCCGGGCGCGGACGGCAAGGAAGAAGCACGCAATA